GGCTTTTGATGGAGTTAAGGCATTGTTAACATCCGACGCCGTTTTGACTCATTATGATGAGCAAAAGCTCCTGATTTTGGCTGCTGACGCCTCGCCTTTTGGAATAGGCGCCGTTTTGAGCCATCTGATGCCAAATGGAAGCGAGGCGCCTATCGCTTTAGCTTTTGATGGAGTTAAGGCATTATTAACATCCGACGCCGTTTTGACTCATTATGATGAGCAAAAGCTCCTGATTTTGGCTGCTGACGCCTCGCCTTTTGGAATAGGCGCCGTTTTGAGCCATCTGATGCCAAATGGAAGCGAGGCGCCTATCGCTTTCTATTCACGGTCTCTATCTGAGGCAGAGCGGAACTATGCCCAGATAGACAAGGAAGGTCTGGCTTTAGTAGCGGCTGTCAAAAAGTTCCACGATTTTGTTTTTGGCAGGAAATTTGTGTTGGTCACAGACCACAAGCCGCTACTGGGGATTTTTGCGCCCGATAAGCAGCTGCCAAACATCATGTCCCCCAGGATGCTTAGGTGGGCGCTGTTTTTGCAGGCGTACGATTTTGATCTGGAACACCGGCCGGGTAAGGCTATAGGGCATGCTGACGCACTCAGCCGCTGTCCCTTACCTAACCAAGGAACGGACCCTGCTCCGGTATGTGAAGTCTTGGCCATAGACGAACTTCCCCAAGCCCCGGTCTCATCCAAGGACGTGGCCGCACACACGGCTAGGGACGCCGTTCTGTCCCGTGTACTTAACTGGGTGTGGAGGGGGTGGCCAATGGGCAGCATGGAACACGAGTTCCAACCGTACAAAATCCGCCAAAATGAATTGTCCATATCAAAGGGCTGTGTACTTTGGGGAAACAGGGTGGTGGTTCCAGACACACTCAGGCAGCAGGTGTTACAATCCTTACACGAAGGGCACCCTGGAATAGTACAAATGAAGGCCCTGGCGAGAGGGTATGTCTGGTGGCCTAAAATGGACACGGCCATTGAAGAGTGGGTACAAGTTTGCAACCAGTGTCAGCAAAGCAGGCCAGACCCCCCAACAGCCCCACCACAGAAATGGGAATCCACGGGTAAGCCATGGTCAAGGCTTCACATAGATTTTGCTGGCCCAGTACAAGGGCAAATGTTCCTTATAATTGTGGATGCATGGTCCAAATGGCTTGAGGTGGTGCACATGCGCTCAACCACATCTACCGCTGTTGTACAGGCGTTGCGCCGGTTGTTCGCAACCCATGGGTTGCCGGACACACTGGTCAGCGACAATGGCCCTCAGTTTGTGTCCGAGGAGTTTAGACAATTCCTCACAAACAATGGTATCCGGCAAATGACCGCAGCTCCCTTTCACCCAGCTTCCAACGGGCAGGCCGAACGGATGGTTCGAACAGCCAAGGAAGCCCTAGGAAGATTGACCGAGGGGGATTGGAGCGTCCGTTTAGGGTCTTTTCTGTTGCGCCAGCACACAACCCCCTGCAGCGCGACGGGCCGAAGTCCGGCCGAAATGTTAATGGGCCGCCGCCTCACCACTCGCTTGAACCGGTTGCATCCGGACTTAAGCGAAGACCGGACCGGGCGTTCATACACGCAAGCAAATGTGCGCATGTTTCAGGCGGGGGACAAAGTGTTCGCCCGAAATTACGCTGCAGGGCAGGACTGGGTTCCCGGGAAGATATGTGAGTGCATAGGCTCTAGGATGTACTCGGTACTGTTGAATGACGGCAGAAGGTGGCGGCGACACGTGGACCAATTAAAAAAGCGTTGGTCCAAGGACAGCGCTGACTCTCCGGCTGGGTCCTCTGAATTACTTTCCGAACCTCCCGCAATGGAGGAAAATATGGAGTTAGCTGGTCCTGCTAGGCAATTCACTGAGACTGAAACAACAGACCCGGCCGTACAAGCGCCTGACTCAGGGTCTGTGGAGCCCCAGTTAGAAGCTCCGCCAAATGGACCTGTCACGCTGAGAAGGTCACAGCGTGCGCACAGATCTCCAGCATACTTAGCTGACTATGAGTGTGGCAACCTGTTTGAAACTGCCTGAAAATACAATGATGCATGTATATACCGTTGTGAATGTATTGCCTTAACTTAGGGGGGAGGAATTGTTATGTATTAACAGCATAACATGAATCGCTCAATATACTTCCCATGTTGAGCTTCGAGCCGGCCAAGGCTCCGTCAGTGCGAACATTCTATTGGTTGCTTCAAAACAGCGACCAATCACAGAAGAGCTGTTCCCTGAGCGGGAAGGACACTGATTCGCCTTTATCTATGCAATCTGATTGGTTGTTATGTAAATAGTAGGCGTGGCTATATTAGCCCGGTATGTTTAAAAGGAGCCCAGCTCCAATGTTATGTTGTTCTGATTCCTAAATGCGTTTGTGTGCTTGTTCGAATAAAGCTGAATCATTAGCTGAAATCACTCTACGGGTCTTTGTTAGTGCGATCTAACAGCTACCATCATGGAAGACCCTTCAGGTTAACATGAAAACAAGGGTTAAAAATCTGGGTCTGGCCAATAAAATAATAGATGCTTGTCTTAGCTATTTCAGAGACACACTGAGTTCTAGACCAGAACTCATCGGTTAATTGCAAAAAGAGATATCGTTTGATGCACCAAAATGGCACCCTCTCAGGAATTTGCTGCCTGAAGCAGATTCCTTCATGTTGAATCATAGTAAGGCCCTATCCTGTTGCTACAGTTCTGCAAAGATGGGAAGGAACCCCAGTGATAAAAGCAGACTAATTTGCCAGATGCCTCCTCATCTCCACCCTTCCCCTGGGGCTCAGCAACTGACTGCCAGTGAATACAGCCTGCAAATGAGCAACTGGGGCCTAGGGACAGGATCACTTCATCTGGTCAGGCTAGATAACTGTAGGGGAAGGGAGAGCTGCAGAAAAGACTGTTAGGAACAATGTAGCTGAATGGGAGATGGTGGTGTGAGAGGGTTTTTTTATTTTAAAGAATTCACTCTGCCTTATGAGATGCTGTGTGATTAGAAGGTGAGGGGTGGGAATGGGTGTGTCAGGGAATACCAAAGTCTTTAAGATATAAACATTTCAGAGCTGCAAACCTTTCCCATTCCTGATGGGGTTGCAGCTCTAGCTTCTACTGTAACCTCTGCTCTTCTGCTAAGTAAGACAAAGCACTAATTGAACACACAATTATCCTGTCAAAAGCTTATCAGCATCACCTGAGGCAACACAACACAGGCATTTTGGACCATGTATTATTCTTGCATTCACATGCAGTCACCAGGCCTTGACCAAGCTAGTGACTGGCTGCCTCTTCCTGTCTGCACCTTCTCCCAAGATGAAAACTCTGACGGGATAGGCAGGGTCCACTTATTTGTCCCTTCCAGGCTTCAAAACAACCCTGCCAGGACAAAACCAAAAGCTATAGCAACCTTTTTGATCCTTTCTGTAAATCTCAAGCCCCAAGGCAAGAGCAGTGCAATAAATTATTTCAGCCACTTTGTTAAACAGTATAAACGTCAACTCTCTGTGTGTGCATGGAGGCATGTGCATGGCACAAGTGAGAAGAGGTGATCACAAAAACGAGGGATCATTCTTCAGGAAAATTATCTTGTATCTTTGAATACAAGTTGCTGTGGTGAACTGTTCAAGCCAGGGAGAACTGTGTGAAGAACAATAATGAAAAGGTGGTGAAAAATAGCAAATGCTTTGGTAAAAGCTGGCAAGACATTGTGCCCACCAATAAACTCCTGGAGACAGGATTTAGCATCAGCTTTTAATGGTCTAGTCATTTGGTCAGCAGTCCAGCTTGCAGTCAAATCCAGTCCCCTTTGAAAACTGTCTGAATTATTGCCATAGAATTCAGCAGGACTACTGCAAGAAACAAGGGGTCCCTGTAGCCTATCAGACATAATTTCCCAGGTTAGACAGAACCTATTTGCAAATGGTACCAATGCAGAATATTGAAGAGGCATCCTTTAGCCAGCTTCTGAGCACTCTCTTGCATTACTATCATCCCAATCCTGGGTGAACCATAGGTTGATAACCTTTTCTATTCAAAACAAAACAGAACCCCAGTCCCTTACTGTGCTAGGTCTTTACCTCTAAGACTTGGTGGGCATTGAGATAACAAACTAGAGGTTGCAATTTGTCACAGAAGTAGCTTTGTCATGATGTGAGGTGGGAAGAAAGGGTGCCTGTAGTCAAATCCTATCCCCTTCTACCCACCTGTCTAATCAGTGCTACTAAATGATTGATTGCGTGTGTGTGTGTGAGAGAGAGAGACTGCTCAGATTGAATCTGAATGCCATTTCTTCTCAAACATATCAGTTCTGTGACAGCACTTTCATCTGATAAGCAGGGTGAGAAAAGTACTCCAAGTTACCACTAACCCCCCCATCCTGCCCAAGGAATGATCATATCCATGAAGATCAGCATGTTCAAGGACTGTCATTATGCCAACTGAGTTTTCCAAATTAACACTGATGGCCAGGTTTGAATGGGTATGTTCTGGTCAGCAGAGGGGCTTGGTATTACATTTTTTGCTGTTTGTGGCTAAACTAATTTTATGAGTCACAAACAGAGGCACTTGTGAATGAGATCTCATATATATGTGATTCTTGGCTGCTACTCTAGGGCTGCGGTCACACGGAGCATTAGGCACGCTAGAGGGACGGAAGATAGGCGGAGTTTCCGGGCATGATCACACCAGCACATCTGGGAAGTGTCGGGCTCCCGTGGCGCAACCGAGGCTTCCCGCCGAAGACGCGCAGTAAAAAACTAGTACCTCGGAGGTACTAGTTTCCTGAAACCGCGGGGCAAGGGTGGGCATCTGATCGCGTTTCTGGAGGTAGTTCCGGCGCCTGCCCATGTCCCCTCGGGAAAAGTTTTTTTTCAAAGTCTCCACAGATGCGCACACGCACCCAAGGGAGCATGCGCACATTTGAGTTTAAATAAAAAAACAACCAACCCGTTTGCCCTGCGCCCCGCTTCTTTGCTGTGCCACAGGACAGTGGAGTGATCGGCACCTCCCCCCTACCACGGGACCTCCACGGGACCTCGATCGGTAGGTCTGATCAAGCAACCACGCGGTTTTTAGCCCCGGGGCTAACAGCCACGTTTCCCCCCCGCATTTTCCTGCCCGTGTGACCGGGACCTAGGTTCCTTTTCTTCCTTTGTGTTCAACAAATATCAGAGAGAGAGAGGGGGGGGCATTTAAAGGAACACTTAGATCTTCTTTGTGGTCTCCGTGCAGTTCCACACTTGGGTTTGGCACCTGCGCTTGGACCTGACCTTGGAAAGTTCTCGAGCTAGCCTCAGACATTTGGTGCACTTTTCTCATGCACTCTGGGGAGCAGACATCAATTACGCATGGCCTGGAGCTGAAGTGAAAGCACCCTCTTGCTCAGTTCCCTTTTGACCACCGTGTTGTCCATACCTCATTGCTCCTTCTCCACCATTGAGCTCCTCAGCACTTCTTCTATCACCGGCTCTCCATTTCCTCCAATCTAGACAACTTTTCTTCACCTTCTTCATCTATCTATCTATCTATCTATCTATCTATCTATCTATCTATCTATCTATCTATCTATCCATGAGTTTTCTCCTTAACTTCCCCTTCCCTCATCATCCCCCCCACCTCCAGCCAGGGACACAGCACATGGAAGGGGCTGTGTTTTTCAACAGGTGTTGTTGTTGCTCCATGCTCCCATCCACCGATGGGCACAATCTCTGCTTAATTTATCTGGGGGAGAAATGCCTGTCCTCACTGTGCCAAGTTTACAAAGCCAGCCTGAAAAAAACAGGGTGGCTCATCTTCACACACTTTTGCTCAAGGCCTCCCTTCATCCACCAATATCCTCGACTCCTCAGACCCAGGCAACACCACCTCCCTTGCCCATGAGGGGAGATTCAGTAGTATCGAAGGACATCACTTCTTTGACTGCTAAGAAGCATAAAAAAGATAAGTCCTCCGAACGACCCTTGGGTTTGACCGCCTCAGATCCGAAGCCTAAGAAGGCGAAGCAGATCCTGACTTCAGCACTGACATCCATTGAACTGCTCATCATATTGGATCTTTCACCATCAACACCTGTCGCTCACTCAACCTATCCATCTTTGGCTGACTGGTCTACTTCTATGATGGTGACTTCAATTCTGACCACCTCTACCATTCTTGAGCAGGTTGAATCATCACCAGCAACCAATTGTCTGCCATTGGGCCAACAAGCTATCACCATTCACTCCCATTCCCCTTTGGCACTCAGTTGTTCACCATCTATAGAGGCACTCCCTGAGGAGACTCATCATAAATTCTAATGGTCAACTTTGACAGGTCTCCAACGATGCCCCTGCAAAACTCAGGAAGCCCCCTGCCTGGCTGGAATGCCGTTCTCGAAGTTGATCATGCAGCGCACATCATCACTATGCCTGAGTTCCTGTATCACACTACTACCATAGACATCATGGAGATGACTGTCATCACTGTTCTTTGAGATTGAGATCCCCCTCTCATCATCACTCCTACTCTCAGTACTGATTGGATTACTGTCAACATGAAGTTGCTCATGATCCTGGCACTCTGATAGGTCTTCCTACCATGGTTCTCCTCACTATCATCGATGCTGCCTGCTGTATGACCAAACTTACTATGATTGAATCTCCATGTCATTTTTAAGAAGTCGCCCAGACTACCCATTGTTCGGGCTCGACAGTTCAACAGAGCGCTGACTGTACTGGCGATCAGCCGCCACACCCTTACCGTAGTGAACCGGTTTTGATTGCTGCCTCAGTAATGAAGTCCTCCACTCATGTACTTTTTGCCCCTTTGGGTGAACTGATAGAACTACAACGTCTCCCTCCACCATCAGGAGATCTGCAGACATCCTTTTCTGAACCTTTCGTTGTTGAGATTGACAATTCAGACTCTGATAAGTATGAACCTCTCCACACAAGACCTGGATCTGATGTTGCCTGCCAGGGAGCTCTGTCTCCTACTGAAGGCTCCAAAGTCTACCTCAAACTCATGAAAAGAATGGCTGAGGCACTGCAGGTCAAGATAAGGAC